TCAAACTCACAACAATCCTCCCTCCTCAACCTCCCAAGTGCTAGAAGTGCACCACCACACCCAGCAAAATAATTATTAACAGACATGAAAAATCAAATAGGCACTAATACAATTGTAAAGAAGAACCTCAATACCCCACTGTCACAAATAGACACACCAACTAGACAAAAAAATCAACAATGAAATATTATAACTGAACCAAACTTTGGAACAAATGGATTTAGTAGATGTCTACAGAGTGTTCCACCCCACAACATCAAAATACACATTCTTCTCAGCTGCACATGAGATGTTCTCCAAAATAGACCACATACTAGCTCATAGATCATGCTTAAGTAAATGCAAAGGAATTGAAATTATCCCAAGCATATTACTGGACCATAGTGCAAGGAAATTGGAAATCAGAGGCAAAAGGAACCACAAGAACTTCACAAATATATGAAAATTAAATAATACCCTCCTGAACAACTGATATGTCACAGATGAAATTAAAGAAGAAATTAGACAGTTTCTACAGTTAAATGATAATCCCAGTACCACATACCAGAAGTTATGGGACACAATGAAAGCAGTCCTATGAGGGAAATGAATAGCAGTGAATACACATATGAGGAAAACAGTGAGTTCAAATACACAAGTTAATGTTAAACCTCAAGCTTCAAGAAAAAGAACAAGTCCACCCCAAAGCTTCAAAAGGGAGGAAATTATAAAGGTCAGACCAGAAATCAATGCAATGGAGACTAAGAAAACAATAGAAAGGATCAACGACTTGAAAAGTTGGTTCTTTGAAAGATTAAATAATATTGACAAACCCTTAGCCAACCTTATCAAAAAAGGAGAGAAAAGACTCAAATCCATGTAATTAAGAATGAAAAGGGTGAAATCACAACAGATCCTGCAGAAATCCAGAAGATCATCTATACCTACTTTAAGAACTTGTATTCTAATAAAATGGAAAATGCAGAAGAAATAGAAGATTCCCAGATACATATGAATTACCAAAGCTGAATCAAGAAGGTATAAAAATTCTAAATAAACCAATATAATTCTTTTTTTTTTTTTTTTGGTTTTGGTTTTGGTTTTTCTCTGGTGCCCGGAACCGAACTCACGACCTTGCGCTTGCCAGGCAGGCGCTTTTGCCGCTGAGCTAAATCCCCAGCCCCTAAACCAATATAATTCAATGAAATTGAAGATGTAATTAAAAACCTACCAACAAAGAAAAGCCCAAGTACTGTTTCATTGCTGAATTCTACAAGAAATTTAGAGAAGACCTAATAGTGCTACTTCTCAAACTCTTTAATGAAATTGAAAGGGAAGCTCCCTTTCAGTACTCCCAAATTCATTCCTGGAAGCAAGTGTTACTCTGATACCAAACCAGAGAAGAACCTGGCCAGGAAAGAGAACTACAGGCCAAGCTCCTTAATGAACATAGATGCAAAAATCTTCAATAAGATACTGGCACACAGAATGCAGGAAATCATCAAGATTATACATCACGACCAATGCCAGGTATGCAGGGATGGTTCAATATACACAAATTTATAAATGTAATACTCCATATTAATAGAGCCAAGAACAAAAATCATTTGGTCATCTCAGTAGATGCAGAAAAAGCATTTGACAAATCCCAGCACCCATTCATGATAAAAATCCTACAAAAATTGGAATAAATGGTCTTTATTTCAATCTGATAAAAGCCATCTATAACAAACCAACAGCCAACATCGTACTAAATGAATAAAAATTGAAGGCTTTCACTCTAAAATCAGGAACAAGACAAGGATGTCAACTGTCACTACTCTTATTCAATATAGTTCTAGAAACATTAGCCAGAGCAATTAGGCAAGACAAAGAAATAAAGATAGGAAAGGAAGAAGTTAAATTATCATTATTTGCAGATGATGTGGTACTCTACATAGAAGACCCGAAAACCTCCACTAAAAGGCTTCTAGATTTAATAACCAAATTCAGTAGCATAGCTGGATACAAAGTCAACACTCAAAAATCTATAACCTTCCAGTATAGGAATAACAAACCCACTGAGAGAGAAATTAGGGAAACAACACCTTTCATAATAGCACCCAAAAAAATGAAATACCTAGGAATCAATCTAATGAAGGATGTAAAAGACCTCTACATTGAAAACTATAGTACTCTGAAAAAGGGGATTGAAGAGAATATCAGAAAATGGAAAGATATCCCTTGCTTTTGGGTAGGAAGAATCAGTATAGTGAAAATCACCATACTTCCAAAATTGCTATACAGATTTAATGCAATCTCAATCTAAATCCCAACAGCACATATCACAGTATTAGAGAAAACTATCCTAAAATTCATTTGATACCAGAAGAGGCCTAGAATAGCAAAGGCAATTCTGAGCAACAAAGGCAAGGCAGGGGCATCACAATCCCTGATTTAAAGTCATACTACAAAGCTACTGTGATAAAAACAGCATGGTAGTGGCAAAAACAAAAAACAAAAGAATAAAACAACTGAGACAGAAGGATCAGTGGAACAGATTAGAAGATGCAGGAACAACTCCAGACATACCCAGCCACCTCATCTTTGACAAAGGTGTCAACCACATTCACTGGAGGAAAGATAGCCTCTTTAATAAATGGTGCTGGAAAAACTGGCTTTCCACATGTCAAAGATTAAAACCAGACCCCTATCTTTCACCATGCACTAAACTCAAATTGAAATGGATCAAAGATCCAAATATTAAAACAGGCCAGGCATGGTGGTACATGCCTGTAATCCCAGCACTTGGGAGGCTGAGGCAGGAGGATTGCTGTGAGTTTGAGGCCAGCCAGGGCTACAAAATGAGTTTGCAGCCAGCCTGAACTGCATGGTGAAACTCTGTCTCAAAAAAACAAAAATAAAATAAATATTAAAACAGAAACTCTGAATCTGCTGGAAGATAGAAAGGTAGAACTTTTGAAGACATTGGTGTAGGTAAAGAGTTATGAACAAAACCCCAAATGCATAGAAACTATCACAAAGAATCAATAACTGAGATTTGATCTTATTAAAAAGCTTTCTCATAGCAGGAGAAACCAACAACAGTGTGAAGCAACAATCCACAGTGTGGGAAAAAAATTTTGCCAATTGTTCCTCAGACGAAGGATTACTATTGCAAACATATAAAGAACTCATAAAAATCAGACCCCCAAATGTAAAGGACCCAATCCAAAACTGGGCATCTGAAATGAATAGATGCTTCTCAGATAAAGTAGAAATGGCAAATAAATATATGAAAATATGTCCAACATCACTAGTCATTCAAGAAATGCAAATTAAAGCAATACTGAGATTCCATCTCACTCCAGAAAGGATGGCTGCTATCAAGAAATCAACCAACAACAACAGCTGGCAGGACTGTGGGGAAAAAAGAACCCTTTTCTTCTGTTGGTGGGACAGTAGACTGGTGCAACCACTGTGGAAATCAGTGTGAAGATTCTTCAAAAAACTTAGAGATTCTATTTGACCCAGCTATTTCTCTTCCTGTTATCTTCCCAAAATAATTAAAAGCATCAAACCACAGTGATATATGCACACCCATGTTTATAGCAGCACAGTTTGTAATAGCTAAATCTTGGAAACAGCCCAAATGCCCAACCAGATGTGGATTTTTTATACAATGGAATACTACTCTGCCATACAGAAGGATAAGCTTGACACATTTCTAGCTAAATGGATGCACCTGGAGGCCATACTCTCAAGTGAAATGAATCAGGCACATATATGTAAACACTGCATTGTTTCTTCTGGTGTGAGAAAGTGAAAGTGTAAATAAGGACCAAAATACACAACAGATATTGTGAAATAGGAAGAAAATTTTCAAATGGGAAAGGTCAATAGGGAGTGGGGAGGGGTAATGGAAGGAAAAGAAAAAAACGATGAGAAAAAAATGATGAGAAAAGAAGGAAAAATTGGAAACAAGAGTTTTGGAAATAGGAAAGGGCAGGGGCTGGGGATTTAGCTCAGTGGCAAAAGCGCCTGCCTGGCAAGCGCAAGGTCGTGAGTTCGGTTCCCGGTACCGGAGAAAACCACCCCCCAAAAAACAAAAACAAAAACAAAAAAATAGGTAAGGGCAGGGGGGTTGAAAGGAGGGCAGGGGAATGGGAGAAAAACAGGAATCAAGTTATACCATGCACAGGTACAAATTCCCTACAATGATTATGATCATTCCCTATAATGATTATGATCATTGGTGTATCTAAAATGCACCAGTAAATGTAACTAAAAACAAACAAACAGCAAAACAATGCACAACTCACACACACACAACACAGTGCAGCCAGGTAAGATGGTCACACCTTGCTGGGATAGGAGCAGGCATCTGGGAAGGGAGCAGCCTTCTGGGATGGGGGCAGGTCTCTCTGGACCTTCATTTGCCTGGTGCTGCAGCCCCAAATTTCCCAAGCATTTAAAGGGATAGTACACATTTTTTCCTTTGTGCGGGAAGAAAGAAAAAGGCTCCTGTCTCTGGTTTCCCATAAGCCCATATGCTGTTTAAAATCAAAGGCTTAGCTCATAAGACCAGTTATTAAAAAAAAAAAAAAAAAAAAACCATAGAGAAAAAAAGATGGCAGTGGCCGGTGATGCACACTTGTGTAAAACTTACACATAGTCATTTGTCAAGACAAGATGGCAGCTGACCAGGTGGCAAGGTGACGTGGTACACTCCTGGCCAAAACACAAACTGAGAAAAAGCCATTTACAGGCTGGCTTAAGTGGAGACCAGGTTAATTTAGCAAAATATACAACAAACAAACATGTGGACAACAAGGCATACCCACGGACTGAATGCAAGCAGTTAGAAAAACAAAAACCTACATTTCCGTCCCCCACTCCCATGGCTGGGTAGGAAGCCCCTCCCCTGTGCCTTGAGAAGAGTCCCCCAATTCCCAGCTTAGGGGAGAGAGTGAGGGAAAGAACGTGCAAAGAAAAAAAACCTGGTGGAGAGAAACAAAGATTACACCCAACATGGGCCTTACCTTGGTCTCCAGTGCTTGTGCTTTACTCTCACGGCTGGCCAGGCTAAAACATTGTCTCCCGGCTGGTTCCGCCAAAAGGTGGTTGGGTCGTTCCTTTAGACATGGCTCGCCAATTAAAAGTACTCCAGGTCCTTCTTGCTTTGAACACAGAATTAGATGAGACAAGCCAAAAATGGTGCCAAAAGTTTATTTGAAAAGTGAGGGGTGAAGGGGTCCGGGAACAACTGGCTCTCCAGAGCAAATTTGGACCAAACAAGGGAGAAAAGGATAAAAAGAGCAAAAATAAAAGCACATCCTGTGGCTGGGAGACAAAGCGTGGGCTACCGTGAAGTGTCAGAAAGCCGACAGTAACATTTCTAGGCTCCTTGAACAACTGAACGTTTTCTTCTCTGGAAACGCTCTTCCTTTGACTTTCAGTCACGACTCTTTGCCCGCTCCTCCTCGGTTTCTTTGTCCATTCCCTTCCTCTTTTCTGCTCTATCAGTGTCAGTATTCCTTGAAGTCTGTTCCTGCCCTTCTTCTCTCTCCTCATTCTTCCTGCCTTAGGGTTTCCAGTCTTTGTTTACTCCCCATTGTTCAGCAATCAGGTTGCCCTGGTGACTTCCAAATCTACATTTCAAATTCAGACACGCTGTGTCTCTCTGTATGAGGTTCTTATGCCTCCTGCAACAAATTGCTACAAACTTAGCTTAAAACAACAGAAATGAGCTGGTGTGGTGGTGCATGCCTGTAATCCCAGCACTGAGGGAAACTGAGGCAGGAGGATTGCAAGTTTAAATTTGACCTGGACAATTTAGTGAGAGCCTGTCTCAAAAAAAAAAAAAAAAGAAGCTGGGTGTGATGCTGCATGCCTGTAATCCCAGCACTCAGGAGGCTGAGGCAGGAGGATTGCTGGGAGCTCAAGGCCAGCCTGTGGTACATAGTGAGATTCTGTCTCAAAGAGAATGGAACCAAAACAAAACAAAAGGAAAAAGTATTCTCTCAGAGCTGTGAATTTTTTCCCTTCCCTTTTTTTTTTTTTTTTTTTTTTTGCCATGTTGAGGACTGAACCCAAAGCCTTAGGAAATAAGCACTCTACTGCAAAGCTATACCCTTCTCCCACAGTATTGTCTGAAATCTTCCTCTTGGAAGCTCAAAGCAGAAACTGTCCCAGGTCTCTGTCTTTGCTTCTTGTGGTTGCCAGTAATATTTCATGCTCCTTGGTTTATAGATGCATCAGTCCCGTCTCTGCCTCTGTTTTCACATGGTGTTCTTCATGTGTCTCTCTGCGTCTTCACACTATGCCTTAACAAGCACATGAGTTGCTGTATTTAGTGCCTACCCTCATCCAATATGACCTTCTCTTAATGTACCTTACTTTATCTGCAAAGACACTATTTCCAAATAAGGTCACAATCTGAGGTTCCAGGCAGACATGAATTTTAAGGACAAAGTGCTCAACCCATATACCACATACTTTCTCTTCAACCTCTGATGTGAGCAGTCAGCTACCTCCTGGGCATCTCCAATGAGATAACTTCCCGCAGGTTCCTCAAACCCAGCACAGTCAAAATATTCAGATCATCAACCCCACTGTTCCTCACCCCAGCCAGACCTTCCTTCAATGTCTCACAGATGGAGCCATTTAAACCAGAAATCTAGGAATCAATTTTGAAACCTCTCTCTTTCTCATTAGCATAGCCAGTCTTTGGCTGAATCTTGCTAATTCTACCTCCCTAAAAGTTCTCTGTGTGGCCATGTTTCCAGCTTCGTTTATTTGGTTGTTTTAAATTTGGCTGCAAGTAATAGAAACTCTAACATTAACTGGCTTAGACAATACGAAAATGCTGTGGTTTACTTACCCGAAAATAAATAACCCAGGACGGTGAGGTTCAGGCTTGGTCATCCAGTGATATTTCCTGGCTTTTCCCATCCCTATTCTACTGACCTCCAGATTGACTTCGCTGTAAGACAGGCTACTTTCCCATCACTGTCGGATGCTGGACAGTGGTTATACTAGTTTACATTCCCACATTCCCACCAACAAGGTAGCAACTGGGGCTGTGCCCTTCACTGTGCACATCTGTGGGGTAGGATAGGGTAGAGAGAGAGGGAAAGAGCTTTCTTTTGGATTTCTTTTATGGTTTGGGGTTTTTCGCGGGGGGGGGGGTTGTTTTTGAG